TTTAGCATCTGAACTGATTTTCATCGCAATGTACACAATCAGTGCGGTGATGGCAGGTCATCGCTGGACAAAGGATGTCCTTGATTAAAATCAACCACCAGGGCCGAGGGTTCACCCGATTATCAACGGCTAGTGCCAGTAACCAAGTGTAACCTTCCTTTGGATGACATCGTTTGTGGCCTGCCCTGGAGAGAAATAGGCTTCATTAGGTCTATTTGCCAAAGACACGGGTTTGAATTGGTCATGGTCTCACCGTTGCTAATTAGACATTGTAGGACTAGTAACTTATGGCGTTGTTCAATGAATTTCAATTCGGAAATTCTCGAGTGTGGCACAGACTTCATTAGGACATGAGCATCAATTGTCAACATGATACACTACAGGTTGTCAATAGTTCTATAATGATGCGAGATATGATGACTTGATATAGCGTTGATTTCAGAATTATTCGAATAAAGAGACATGCCGTTTCGATTATATCCAGCTACCTGATACTCTCAAGTGAAGAATCTTGTACGTGAACAAACTTCTCATCTATATCCAATAAAAGATCGAATAGGCTCCTGTTGGACATAAATATGGTGGCTACACTATTTATCGGAAATGCTCTTCAAATTAAATCTGAACTTCTTGGGCCAGTATTATCCTGTTAAAGTACTGCATGGCTGGGATACATTGAATCCTTAACTAGGAGCGAATAGACACTTATTGGCCACCAGTCAAAGATTTTCTTTTTTAGACGGACCAGACGACCGAACTCATATATAGTTAAAAATGAGATAATTTGTCCTATAATAAAGTTCCATGAGCACCTCAACGTGGTGTAATGGTTAGAAAGCTTGCCTTGCTAGATCAGTTACGACTGAATAGTGAGTTCGATCCTCACTGGGTACCCAATACTTTTGGCCTTGTGCCACATCTAGTCCGGGCTTAGAAAATCACTATAATAAAGTTCCATAATCGAATGAGTTATGAACATCACTGAAGAGTAAGTGCTATAATCTTACTCTTTCTTTCTTATTATAATGATATACATATATAAAGAAAAAAAAAAACAGAAGTGTGAATAATATTTCGATTTTTATTTGCAAGAAATAAGGTAAATACTAATCGTCATTGTAACATGTCAATATAAAAGAAATGACACATTTATTTAAAATTATTCCAACGTTAAATTCATTCAGTTTGTACTTGGCGTACGATCTATGCGTTTCGTTTAATCAAGTCGTCAGCCTTCTTCATATTTAATCCATTAAAAAGCTTTCACTCCTCCACCAACAGGTAAAGAATTTAAATCTATATAAAAGATGCTAAGACGAATGAAAAGAAATAAGTGTCAATGTATTAGTAACTTGGTTTTTAATAATGAGTAAGGAAATATATTTTATATAACGTGTGTGTTTTATCAATTGATTAGTTTTCGACAGCTTATCAACTCTTTACCGGTTATTTAAGACCAGAAAGAGTTTTTACATTGTAGGAAATTTATTTGAGATGACAAAGGTTTAGAGATGCAAACTGGAGGGAAAAAATGTAGGTTCATATCTTTTTCACAATTTTTCATAAGAGTATTTGCGCGTAAGTGAATATAACGAACCCATCGGTGGTGAGGTATGGAAAAAAGCATATATATATATATATATATATATATATATATATATATATATATATATGCCGTCTCATATGTAAAAGTAAATTAATCGTCACTATTTAATGACGTATTGTTTTTACTTTCAATATCTGTTTTCCCTCGTCGCACTCTGATGTGAACAGACACGCCATGCACCAGAGCGGAATTTTCAATCTATGAATAAGTTTCTTTCCTCTCTTTCTCTCTCTCTCTCTCTCTCTCTATATATATATATATATATATATATATATATATATATATATATATATATATATATATATGTTTAACGCTCTTTTTGCTCTTTCGGTTCGTATATTGTCCATACTATACCAACAAACCACTCAAATATGCTATTTTAAATCCACTTTTTCCCTTCAATCCAGTTTTGTTCGTTTCTCTGTTTCTTCTTTTCTCACTTGATATACAACCAGAAGTGCCTCCCACTCCGGGTTTGTGAACGTGTTTGCTGTTTTACGAAAGTCTCGTCTGCACGCATTGTTGAAATTCTATCGTTTCCAGATCAGCAGACCTTTTTCACATTAATGCCATCGACTCTTTCAACGATTTACCGCGCTATTTCCGCCATTGCTGCATGCTACAACGTTACTTGATTTTAATTCATGCGCTTTTTGCTATAACAATCTATTTGCGCCGTTCCATCCCCTGTCAACCGCCCACTTTTAGATAAATTCAACCGATACACTTACTTCACTGGCCAAGTCCGATACGATACAGGACTGGAGAAAGAAAGAAAACATAAAATAATTGATTGAAATATAGAAGCAATTGAATTCCAAGCAAAGAAACAACCAGATCAACAAAACAGGAACAACGAGAAAAAATATATGAAAAAGGCGGAAAGGAAATGCCAATTACAATGTGGGAAAAATTACGAAGAAAGACAAAACAAAACAAAAAAGTCTACCGCCCCATCAGTTAATAATAAGTGATACATTGGGAAATGTTTGCAGTTTTTGTTATTTAAGTTATATGCGGAGATTTTGCAGATATATTTAGTGTGTTTGTAATTGTCTATTCTTTTAATCACTTTCTAAAATGTATGAATACGTAGTTATTTTCACACATATCTGTAGGAATGTGTTTTTCTTTTTAATATAAACACCTTCACTGTCCATATAATACATTTAATGGTCAATATTATTCATAGATCGAAAGTTGAAAACTAGAGATCAAAATTCTCTAAACGAAATATTCAGAAGTAGTAAAATTGTGGTAAAAAAGAAAATAATACAGATCTGTCACGTAATATGAAATTCCCTATAAGGCAATGGACACTGAAAATTTTCCTCTAAGGTTAAGATGAGACTTAAAGCAACAATTATGTAGTTCTTCAGAAAGATGCGGAGTAGATGATGGACGGAGAATTTCAGTAACGAGGAAATCGTAAAGAAAATTAAATAAGCAATAAGACTTTTAAATAATATCAGAGAAAGACAGTTGAAATATAAGCGACATATTATGGGAAAAAGGGCTTGGATAGATTGAAACTCACAGGACATATCGAAGTTTAGAGATAAGCTATTGAGTAATCTACATAATAAACGTGTGGAAATCGATGACAGAACAATAACTGCGAGGCAAAGTAAGGGGATATACATTATTAGGGGCTACAATGAATAAAAATTGGCTCCAAGAATGCATTGCAGAACTGAAGAAATAAGAGTAGGGGAAATAACATGGAAATTTCTGTAAGAGATTACTCTTTGGTACCTTGACTTTACAAAATTAAGCGCAGTGCATGATTGAGACCTGGGTCTCGTTATCTTACAGTTGAAATGACTAGAGGTAGCCGTAGGTTCTATTCTAACAGTTTCTTCATTCGCACTTTTCGCTTGTGGAACTCTCTTCCGGTCTCTGGTTTTCCAGTCAACTTTGATCTTCAAAAATTTAACTGCAATATCAATTGTTATCTTCTGTCTTAGTCCTCGGACTTTTAATTTTATCTTTCCTTAACCCTTTCATTGCTACTCATTTGCCCAGTGCTGCCCCCATCCGGTCAGCCATTTTTAAAGAAAATGCCAAATTTCAACCTACATATTTTATTACACAGATAACTAGCACCAGTGTGTTTTACAGCCTTCCATTTTCATGGATATACCTGGGAATGACTTACCAGATCAGTAATGGGTATACACATGATATCTTTTGAAGCATTGTCCTTTGTGATTTGACGATAGATGGCGCAACGGACACTCATACCAGCGGTATGCAAAAAAACGTAGGTTTCCGTACTTAGCCAGCTGGAGCAAGATAAGAAAAACGAAGGTCTCCGTAGTTAGCAGCAGAAGTGTTAATGTTTCCCTTTTTCTCATATTCTTTCACGTTCAATAAAGTTTTACGTTTTAGTGGCTTCCTTGCCTTGCTTGGGGAAAATCATTATAAACTGTAATATAAATTGCCTTTTGTTTCTATTTAAATGTTCGGTTTCTCTTTCAATACAATGAACAGGTTGGAGTTTCATCCTTTATAGGAGGCAGTTCTTCTAATAACAGAATACCAAAAATCATCTTCATACTGACGATCGGATATGCAGAGGTGCACAAGTATACACATACATGTATGTTCTAGTTTCAAACATCTAGTTAAATGTAACCGGATTCTTGGCCTTATGTTGAAGACCTGGGAACTGTTGCTGGAGATTTATATGGCTGGGGAAAATTGATTTAAAAACGCCGCAAAATTTTTCAACAGAAAGGAATTTAGCATTCAAAAAAAAGCGTGCAACTAGGAAAGAATAAATAGAACCAGTTCTAAGTTCATAAGGACACCAAACACACTTGCAGTACTTGTGGAAAAGTCATAGGTTTGTTGGCTTGTTTAGTCACATCAGAGAGGACAGGTATATATCCTCTGAAAGACCTGCAGGTTACTTGTGCGAGCTTTGTGACAAGGTTTGTTGACCTGTTTTTTTTTACTCAAACATCATGTAATTGTAAGCAGAGACAGGCAACTTTCCAAAACGGGTGACACAAACAAACTTTGTTTACCACACGTGTAAAAGAGGTTTGAAAAGTGAACCTGGACTTAAGGACCATTACGGCCCATTGCCGAGCGTTATCTAACGTATAAATGATAGAAAATAGAAAGTTCTGAATGAAAAAAACAAAATTCTACCAAGAGAGGAGATGGTCTTTTTCTGCAAAGATGTGACAATCACCATGTTCCAGTGTCTTCATATGCATGAAACCTTGAGTCATGTCCTTGAATAACTTCGTCATATCGAGACTTTCATATGAATGCGCTGCATGGCGTCAAATCCGTTCAAAATATATAAACTGTCAGGGATATGCAGCCGCTTTATAAGATCAATGGCTAAAATGGCCTTGGATGATTGAAATATGTAGATGTTGGCTAAAATTATCCTTCGAATATGGCGAAGAAGAGCTATAGAATCATATACAAAAGTTGTACTAAGTGACATAAACCCCAACATTTGAGGATTTTCAATAATAGCAACAACTAAATGTTTTATCACATATAAATCAAAGAGAAAATAAAGAGGATATTTTTGACCCATACTACTTCATAGAAAAGGTTAGGAAGGAAACCTCATTCATACTGGAAAGAGCGATAACAGCTACTGGACTTGAAAGACCTATTTTCATTAAGAATTGTTTGAAGATGAAGGTTTTATGAATTTCTACAGACAGTAACACTTTCTGCTCGTTCATAAGATTCCGCATTTTTCCTGATGAGGAAACACTAGTACAGGATTCGGCCGAGAGCCCCCCCCACCACCATAATGGTAAGGTATGAGTTAGATGAAGACTCCGTTGCTACTAATGTCTTATTATGTGGGAAGTATTTTTCGGAGATATATATATATATATATATATATATATATATATATATATATATCTCATACAATTGGAATTAAGATACCATTAGTGACTGATTATTTTCACCCTCGAATTTTAAGTTTAAAATTCACAGGATTTTACAAACTGTTTATGGAGTCAGTTTGTTGAAGGGGACTGACTAGCTGGGGAATCTATTGATTAATGGTATTTAAATTCCAACTGTATGTAATATTTTGCTCTGTTTAATGAAAATAGACATTGAGCGTTCTTTGTCAGTCCCTTTTAACATTTAATATTAAATATTTAAAATTATATATATATATATATATATATATATATATATATATATATATCATATCAAGATATAAAAGTGTCTCAGAGTGGAGAGGATTGACAGCCGTTATTATTATTGGGCACGCCAAATGTCGATCTATATGATGAGAAATCATGCATACACATACATTCATGTGATAAGTGCTTAGACGTGTTTCCTCTGGAAAGTGAATACCTGGATATATATAAAACGTAACTAGTAAATGCTATATATCGGTCTGTACATCGAGGAGAACATTCTCAAGTACATTGTGCAAAGAATAATTGTTCGAATATATATTTTTTTACTATCAACACGCTATTCTCAAAGGAATGACATTTGAAGAGTTTCAGCATGCAGGAAAACGTCAAAAACGTTTGACGTCATCAGGTGTTTGAGACATGAACCAGTTTAGGGAATTATTTTTTTTTAATGAAAGTAGGAAAACTGGAAATTCTTAAATATATACAGGCAGAAAGACAGACACACCTACATATATTAGTCAGTGGAAAAGTTGGCGGATACGATTAAGATGTATGTAAGAGTTTGAGTATATACATATATATATATATATATATATATATATATATATATATATAGAAAAAGTTGCAAATTAAAAAAAAATAATAATATATATATATATATATATATATATATATATATATATATATATAAAATAGAAAAAGTTACAAATTAAAAAAAATAATAATGTTCTATATATATATATATATATATATATATATATAAAAAAAAGTTGCAAATTGAAAAATAATGATGTTCTATATATATATATATATATATATATATATATAGAGAGAGAGAGAGAGAGAGAAATTTGCAAAAAAAAAATAATAATGTTATATATATATATATATATATATATATATATATATATATATAAAAAGTTGCAAATTTAAAAAAATAATAATGTTCTATATATATATATAGAAAAAGTTGCAAATTAAAAAAATAATTGTTCTATATATATATATATAAAAATAATATAGAAATGTTCTATATATATATATATATATATATATATATATATATATAGAAAAAGTTGCAAATTAAAAAAATAATAATGTTCTATATATATATATATATATATATATATATATATATATACAAAAGTTGCAAATTAAAAAAAATAATAATGTTCTATATATATATATATATATATATATATATATATATATATATATATATATATATATGGTTGCATTATATCGAAGAAAAAAAAAATATATATATATATATAAATATATATATATAATATGTGTGTGTCATTTAAATAAAATATCATGCATATATGATC